GAACGGGGAGGAAGGAAGGAAGGAATGGCGAACAAGGCGGAGGAGCAGCAAGAAGACCCCGAGCTGGGAGCAGGGCTGGGTCACCGCCCTGCAAGCCTGCCTATGGGCCAAGGGCAGGCTCAGTGCTCTCTTTCGCCCCCCGGGTCTGCAAACCCAGGGCAGACCTCCTGTGCCACCCTGCTTGTGCAACACGCTTCCATTGCAACACTCCTGTGCACGCAGCCCCGGGCTCGCTCCTGCCCGTTTATCTCAAGTCGCGGGTGCCGCTGCCAGCGCCCGGCTCTACCAAGAGCCGCCCTGCCACGCTCCCAGGAGCCCTGCTCCGCCATTGGGCACACCTCCCCGCCGGCCCTCCGCTCATTGGCTGACTCACAATTTGTTGAAGCGGAGCGGCGGCAGCGGATCCCTGCGCGCTGCGGCCGCCCGGCACCCCCCACCCCCGGGCCGGGGGCGTGCTCTGGCCCCCCGGGCGTCCCGCTGCGGGGCACGGGGGCTGCCGGGAGGGGGCGCGAGCTGTCCTGGGCTGGGGTCCCGGCAGCAGGATGCGTGCGCTGCGGGAATAATGCAGGAAAAAGGCTTCATCTTTCGGGAGAGAGAGAAAAAGAAAGAAAAGAGAAAAAAAGAAAAAGAGAAAGAAAAGAGGGAGAGGAAAAAAGAGGAAAGAGAGGGAAAAGAAGAAAAAAGGAAAGAAAAAAGAGGGAAAGAAAAGAGGAAAAAAAGAAAGAAAGAAAAAGGGAAAGGAAAAAAGAGGAAAGAGTAAAAAGAAAGGAAAAAAGAGGAAAGATAGAAGGAAGAAAAAAGAAGAAAGAGGGAAAGAAAAAAGAGCAAGAAAGAAAGAGGAAAAAAGGAGGAAAAAGAGAGAGAAAGAGAGAGAGAGGCTTGGCCTAGTGGCTTCCTAGTTGTTCCTATGGGGAGATGACAGGCTCATTGTAGGGGGGCAGTCAAGCTTGGCCAAGAATGAATACAAAGGGAGAGATGTAATAACTGCATTTCTAAGAAATACATATTAAACCACGTGCAGCAAAATATTTGCCAGTGATCTGCTAAACGTGGCAGATTCGCTGTTTAGTTACAGAGCGGAGCAATGTAGGGCTGGGGGGCAGCATGGATGAACGGTCATACAAAACATGCCAAGCTGCTCTGGAAGTATTTAAGGGCCCTGATCCACATTCAAGTGAAAGCTGGATAGCAACCAGCCATAGAGTTGTTACACATTTTCAAGCACTAATTTTACAGCTGGTTGGCTCTTTTTCTAGCTGGAGAGTCATTTTTATCCTGTGACAAGTTACTTCGCAGGTGTGGCCGGACTACATTTATTGAGCAATTCATCAGAGAATGGTATAATATATATGTAAAGTGACAGAGAGAAATAGACCATCAAAGAAAAGGGGAAAACGTTCTCCCTCATTGAGAATAAACTCTTATTTCCTTAGAACATGGTTAAAGCTGCTTTGCTTTGTGGTTTAATAGCAGCAGAAAGGGAATTCATCGCTGGGCCTCCACTGAGCTGTAACCCTCCAAGTTGTCAGATGCTGAAGTCTAAGTGGAAGGTCAAAGCTATTCTTGCTACTTTGTCCCTGCTGTCTCTAACCCCGGCAGGTGCTGTAGTGCAGTTGGACCTCTCTCATTTGAAACCCTCTCCCTGGCTGGAGGTCCTGTAGGTGGAAATAAGTTCCATACATCCTTTCCTTGTGCCCTGACTTCACCCCTTTCCCTCCCTCCCTCCCTGCCCCAGAGCAGATTTATTCTAGAAAGGCAGCACATGTTCTGTCCTGCAAAGCTGTTAGGAAATGGGTGTGCTCCAGTGTCCTAAAAGTCCTAGCACGGCAAAACCTATATGGCCTCTTACTCATACAATGCTTGTACAGGTTGCTCTGCTTTCCACACCTGGACATCTTTAGGAAGAGTTATCAGACTTTCTGTTTGGGCAGGCATTTAGCAAACAAAGCTAAGCTGGGATATTCAGTGGTTTCTTTTTTATGTTTTCTCCTGTTTTAGAAGCATTTTTTCATGTTCTGTAAGATATTCTGTTCTCCTGTTGTAAGCAGCCATGACCTTTTGTTGGGAAGGGCAGCCAATATATCAAATAAAGAAATAAAAATAAAATAACGAACCTCAGCATATTGGTAATATTGCAGAGGTTTAATTGTGACAGCAAAGGCACAGTCTAGTAAAAGACACATCATTCTTGCAATTTTGGCTCACCGGTGGTTTTTCATTGACCCCAGCTGACTTCCTGGTCCCTTCCAGCCCTAATCTCTATGGAATCTATGGCAGTGGCTTTTGCAGATTTATTTGGGGAAAAAAGCTATCATAATTTTTCTGGGACTACTTGAAGACCAGCCTCAAAATTGGCTGCCCCTGAGTCTCAGTCAAGGGAAGGGCTGATGAACTTTAAAAAGGGTAAGGACTCAAAATGCTGATTTCAGATGTCCTGTCTGCCTCTGTATGACCCCTGCGTTATATATGCAATGTGCATCTGTGCACATGTAATCCCAGACAGCATGACCTTCAAAGCTGCCAGGTGGATGCTGCAATCAGGTTCTCTGCAGAAGAGGAGTCACTCTTACCTCATAAGCAAGATCTCTTGCATTGGGACAGATACGGGATGGTACCTCTGCCCCATTTGCCAAAAATTAGGACATAGGGGATAGGGGAGAAGAGGAGGATCGATTTTTTCCAGTCAATTTTAAATGCACTGGAGTATGGAAGCATTTTGCAGACAGTGTGGAAGCCTGACAAGGCATATTACTAAAGAGGAAAAATAGGTGCAGACACCTGAGACAGGATTCCCCACAGCAGGCGAGGAATGCGAATGTTGCATTATTATTATCAGCCCAGTGGGTCGCAGTCCTTTTTAGACTCAAAGCACCCCTGACTAGACTCAAGGCAGTCTTTGGAAATTGCCGGCTCTTAGTTTTCACTCATTTTTTGACTACAAAAAATAATAGAGGGATTCTCCTGTGGCAAAGAGCTCAGCAAGCCCGGAGCAGGGCAGAATGCTTTTAACACCGCAGATTCCTATTTGAAGTCTCTGGGTTTGTCTTGTGACTTGTGTTTGCACACCTAGCTGTACTAATGTTCTGCAGTACCCTTGACAGGGTCTCAAGGCACCCTAGGGTGCCACACTCCTCTGGCTGAGAATCACTGAATTAGACACATGGTATCAAACATGTCCCCAGAGGGATGAGTGGCAGGCTCTGGCCTACCCGGATGGGCAGACATGCATATGCACTTCATGTCACATTATGCACTGCATGTTACATACATTATATACTGAATGCTGCATACATTACACAGTGTTAGATATGTTATACATTGCACACTGCACGCATTACACACTGCACATTACATTATGCACTGTGCATTGCACACATTATTCACTGCACATGGGGGAAGCTCGAGGCACTCCAACAGGCCCACAGACTGGAGTTGTTTCACATTTGCAAGTGCTTGTGTCATAGCTGATTGGCTCTTGTTATAGCCAGAGTCATTTTTATCATGAGAGGGAGAGTGACTTTGCATGGGTGACCAGTCTGAATTTCTTGCATGCTTCACAAGTGTATGTAACGTACAGTATGTAATGCACGTGACATGCAGTGTGTGATATATGTAATGTGCAGTCTGTAATATATGCAATGTGCAGTGCACAATATATGTGCGGTGTGTAATGTATGCCATGTAGTGCTGGTTGTAGCCATGTTGGTCTAAGGACACAAGCAGGCAACGTTCTTTGAGTAGATGTGATATCTTTTATTAAACCAACTGAGTAGTTGGAAAAAGGTTCTTAGCAAGCTTGAAAGCTTGTGCCCAAAAGCTTGCTAAGAACTTTTTTTCAACCACTCAGTTGGTTTAATAAAAGATATCACATCTACTCAAAGAACGTTGCCTGCCATGTGGTGTGCAATATATGCAATGCATAGTGCACAATGTATATAACGTGCAGTTTATAATATATACAATGCACAGTGCCTAATATATAACGTGCATTGTGTAACGTGTGCAGCGGTGCAGTGTATAATGTAATGTGCAATATGCAATGTATGTAATGTGCAGTGCATAATATATGTAACACGCCGTGCCCAACGTATGCAGCATTCAGTGTGTAATGTATGCGGTGTGCAGTGTATAATGTAACATGCAGCGCACGATAGGTGTAATGTGCAGAGTAATAATGTCACGTGCAGTGTGTAATGTATACAATATGCAGTGTTTAATGTATGTAACGCAGTGTGCAATATATAATGTGCAGTGCATCCTGTGTGCAGTGTATAATGCAATGCGCAGTGCGTGATGTAATATGCAGCGCATATTATGTGTAACACTTTGTAATGTATGCAGCATTGAGTGGGTAATATATGTCATGTGCAGTGCATAATGTGCCACGCAGTGCATGATATGTGTAACGTGCCAAACGAGTAATAGATGTCAGGTGTACACAATGTGCAGTGTATACAGTATGTACACGCTATATGTGCATCGTGTAAGACACGTAATGTGCAGTGCGTAACGTGACGTGCAGTGCAGGATACGTATCATGTGCAATGAGTAATCCATGTCAGGTGTATACAATGTGCAGTGTGTAACGAAGGACACAACATGTGTGCACTGTGCAGTGTATAACACAGGTAACACGCAGTGCAGAATGCATGCAGCATTCAGTGTGTAGTGCATGTAATGTGCAGTTTATATCGCGCCATGCACTGCACGATGGGTGAAATGCATGCCAGGTGCATACATCGTGCAGTGCATAAAGCACGCACACAATACAAGCTCACTGCTTGCAACGTACCGCGCGCAATGACGCAGCGCGCAGTCCTGTACGTAACGCGCAGTGTGAGACAGACGCAACGTAGACCCGGCGCCCGGGCGGCGGAGGGGCGGGGCGGGGCGGGGCACCGCCCCGCGCACTCCTTTCTCGGGCGCGGCGGAAGGTTACAGGCGTTGGCGCGCGGAGAGCGT